CGGGAGCCTGATGTGGGACTCGATCCCAGGACCCTGGGATCATGACCTGAGCCGAAGGCAGACGCTTAACCATCTGAGCCACCCAGGCGCCCCTGGGGTTGGGTTTTGACCCCTGATTTGTCCTATCAGCTGATGGAGAGAGCTACATAGTTAAGGGAATGCAACATGCCGGTGTGGTACTTTGTTCCACATGTATCAGTTCAAGGCCTTAGAATGCCTTGTAAGTTCTGTCTTCAGAGTCTTACTACTCCTCTGGGAATGAGAGAGACAGGTGATGCACATTATCATCCTCCTTTTGCAGCCCGAAGAGGCTAGGCCCCTGTCCCTAGAGTGGGAATGAAGAGCTGGGCACAGAACAGAGGTGCTCTGAATCTATGAACAATGTCCTCTCCCCCTGGCGGTGATAGATTTTCAGTTCCGTTCATAAGAAGACTCACAGTTGGGATCCCTTACCCGAAAGGATGTTGGTGATGTTGTTCCCTCTTTTCACCAACATTTGCTAAACTGGGCTGGGTGGTGACCTTTCCGGTAGGACACCAAAAGGTCACACATTTCTGGCTTTAGCCTCACTCCTGAAACCGTAAACAAAGACTCCTCTGTAGGGAGGAAAAGAGAAAAGCACCAACATATTATTTCCTGGAATGTTTCACGGTATATTTTTTATATCTGTTGTAATATTTGTCACCTGAAGAGACATCATAACATGAGGCAGACTTACCCACCAACAATTCATACCGACTCAGGGATAACTCGCTTTACTGAATCTACTAATACTTGTCAAGTGCCTCTTATTTGATTCAATTCAACACATACTCACCAAATGAGCACTTGGGTAAAGTGTTACGCTAGGTGTTGAAGATCCAAAAAACAGGAATAGGACTGGGGACACACACACTAACAAACAAGGGCTGAATGTGAGATACAAGTAAAGAATTACGACAGCTCCTCTCTCACATTTCCACGGAGCACAGGAAAAGCATGGACAAGTGCCCTTTGAACCGTGAAGGAAGACTCTACTTTCAACAGTCAAGAAATTCCAGGGACAATATTGCTGGCTGGAGGATCAGCATGAGCAAAGGCAAAGGGGAAGGAAAGTGTTTGAGGGAACTGCACGGTTAGAGCAAGACAGACTAGTAGATGAAGTTGGAAAAATGAGCTGGAACCAGATGGTAAAGGGAGTAAATATCAAGCCAAGGAGTCTGGACATTAGTTCCAGTGATGGCAGGCAATGAGCATCATGCTGGGGCTAGATGTGTTTCGGAAAATTTTAAATTCTGGTGCATTAGTTACATTAGGCAATCTATTTGAATAGACCCTGTGGTACAACTTTTATAAATGAAAAAAATTTTTTTTTGCAAAAAAAAATACACACACACACACACACACACACACACACACTACCTTTGCCCTCTGATTTATTGGGTTAGTTCAGTATGCTGGCAGTTGGCATTTTTATAAATGCCTGTGTTCAAGTGTGTGTTGTTCCTGGGTGCTTACTACACGAAAATTATAGGTCAAGTCCTCCCAAAGTTAACGTTTTAAGGAGCTCATCTGCAAAATGGGGATAGTAAAACTTCCTGGCAGATTGCTGTAAGTTTAAAGGCGATAATATATTCAAAACATCTTGGGTTGTTCTTGATATGTAATATATTTGAATAACTAGCGGCCTTTGTCCCAAGCCCTCAGCATAGATACCATCTAGGAAAAACAACAGCCACGTTGTCACCAAAGCAATTGTCATCACAAACTTACTCAGGACCTCTTTTCACTTGGGCATTGCTTTTCCAAGGCTCACAATCTGCACGAACCTGGAGTGCTCTAAATATTGTGCAATTTCACAGAAAGATAAGGGTCTAGCTTTGGCACACCAAAAGCCTAAGATGCATTAATAATATTGTTTGCTGGAAGCTGCTCACACCCAAAGAGCGGAAATAAACCTGCAGGGCCATCTCTGCCTCCCTTGGCCTAGACATCTGCTTTGGATGCCACGAGTAGTCTGGGGCCTTGAGTCTTTGGGTTCGGCATTACACCTTTGCTAGGCTATAAAGGGGAGACGTCAAGTTTTGTTGGTATGCATAATACATCTTCACAGTACATTATAATACACAATTCTGTACTTTTTCTAGCTCATGTCATAGCATAAATAAACAGCTAAAATAAACAGTGTGTAAACTTCACAGATCACTCTCAAATCAACTCAAACCCAAACCACTTTGGGAATTTCCCTCAGGGAGAAGTGTCCTCTTGCCTTGGGGACAGTGGCATGAAGATTTCCCTCGGGCCTCCTTGTCCCTCAAAGGCCAGGGAGGAAGGAGAGAGGGAGAGAGAGGGAGGGAGGGAGAGTGTGGGGAGGGGGGGAGTGGGGGAGAGAGAGAGAGGGAGAGAGAAAGAGGGAGAAATTCTCTGGTGGAACAGTGTTGGGAAAGCAACCAGTTCATCAAAGGGATTCCAATTTGGCCCAGCCCCGGGGACTGCCCGACTCTAGAAAAAGGAAACAAAAACAAGAAAAAAAAAAAAAAAAAAAGGAAGAAAGAGAGAAAAAGAGAGAAGGGAAAAAAGCAGCAGAGCATTTCTCCCGCAGCAATCCCACAAAAGCAAAACCTTCCATTCGACTGACTCCTCATTAGCTTACTGAATCTGACAGCATAATTATCACAGCTGCTTCGCACTTAGAATAAATAAATACGAAAGTGGGTGTTTAAAATTTTTTGAGAAGGGAAATTCAGTCATCTAGACAGTGAGTAGGACAAGTTTATTTAAAACTTCTAGATTCTTATGTATTTAGATCATTTCAGAACGAGATAATGAGATAGTTGTCTTTCAGTCTAATTGAGTTCCTAAGCTCCTGGCTGTTGGTTGTCACCCCTTTCAAACTTTGCTTTAACTTTCCTTCCTTTAGAAATCTGATCCTGGTGTCTCCATTTACTCTTCCTGGGCTGATAACCTGGTGAAGGCTGGGTGCACTGGAGTGCAGAAAGTGACTTAATGGGATTGAGAAGCTAAGTAACCTTTCACAGGAAACAAGATAATCAAATCTCTTTTACTTGCCTGTAATGGCTAAAAGAGAAAGCGCAAGCTGAAAAGAAAGCTTGGAAATTAAACCATCATTTCAAAATGTCTTGTAATTTCCCTGGCACGTGGTTTTTGCGCTACCCTTACACATCGTCAATCCATCAGCTGGAGTTGCTTTGTGCATTTAATTATTCAGAGTGCACACAGCCTCGTGACTATGCAGTAATTTTAGCTCATGTGTATGTGTATAGGCTTCCATCTTCAAAGCCCAGAGGATCACACAGTACCACTTGAAGTTGAAGTTGCTAACTAACACGGAGTGCACTTAAAACTCTGACTGGGGGCACAGCACATAAGCATTTCCCGTTAAAGCGGACGATCTTTCCTTTTAAAATTAATTAGTGCCTATTTATCTTTTCCTCTCCCTCCCACCTCTCATTCTCCTAGGACCACATTTATGTGAACCCTTGCATTCAGTGAGTTAAAAGATTTATAAAATAAACATTCTGTCAATCTGGGGTAAAGGAAACTAATGTTAATCCATTGTGTAGACTGAGAGATTGAGGCTTTATGAAGGCCAATAACGCATGTCCTGCTGGAAAAAAAGAAGACAACTCAGGTCCTTTAGCTCTCAGTCCAGAGCCTGGACTCCCTGTAACATTTGCCCTACCTCATTCTTTTAAACAATAAAAGCAATACGACATCAACATCAAAGAAAACGTTGAAAAAGAAAAAAAGTTACCCACAATCCCCCTAAATGGCAGGAGCATTTTTATTTTTGTATGCTACCTTTCAGTTTTGTTGATATGCATAATACATTTCACAGGTAGATTATAATATGCAATTTTGTATCCTACTTTCTTTTAGCTCACATCATAATGGCAATAAATATTTCCATACTACCTCACACTCCTGTGAATTATTCTAAATTGTTATATAGTACAATATGCTGAGTCAATATAACAACATTATCCAATTGGTTCTCTTAGTGTTGAATATTTAGATTGTTTCTTTTATTTTTATTTTGTAATTTTTTAAATACAATTATAGACAACACTGCAATGGACATGTTTATGTATCTAGGGTTCTTTTTTTCTTTTTCCTATTCAATTATTTCTTTGAATAATTTCCAGAAACCAAAGTACAGGGTTGAAGGTTGTTACCATTTTTATAGCTCCTGATATGCATGTCATAAAGCTTTGCAAAGGTTGCCCCATCTTATAACACCACCAGCAGAAAATTATTTTACCACAATCTCACAAACACTGGGAGTCATTAGGTTGAGGGGGGGAAAAAGAACTACTTATCAGTTATTTGTATTTATTTAATCACTAGTAAGGCTGTCTTTTTATTCCATGTGTTGGTATACTTTTTTTTGTTTTCCTTATGTAAATTGCTATTTTATGCCTTTGCCCAATTTTTTGTTGGATTCCTGAAATTACCCTATAAAATTGAATGAATTCCAGTAAAACAAAAAAAGAACCATCATAGATTAAGAAGTCTTAAAACCCAAAGGTGACTGTGTATTACAAAACAAACCCAAAAAGCAAAAAAGAAAGAAAAGAAAAAAAAAAAAAAAGGGAACAGACACTAAGACAAGATGACATTGAGGATTAAGGAAGAGGTCAGGGGCATCTCTATTAAACATCAAACTGGGGGCACCTGGGGGCTCAGTTAGTTGAGCATCTGACTCTTGGTTTCTGCTCAGGTCATGATCTCGTGGGTCGTGGGATGGAGCCCCAACTGGGCTCTGTGCTCAGCGGGGAGTCTGCTTGAAGATTCTCTCCCTCTGCCCCTCCACCCACTTGTGTGCTTGCGTTCATTCGTTCATTCAAGAGTTCTTCTAAGTGAATAAATAAATAAATAAATAAATAAATAAAAATAAACATGAAATTGAACCTTCTTAATTGTGAGGTATTAAGCAGATTACCCGGGACAAGTGGAATCTTTCTTGGGAAGGCTCTAAAATAAACATAGAGCATAAGAGAGTAGAAAGGTCAGACTGGGGTTCTAGACCTTGGTTCTAATCCTTGTTTTGCTACTAAGTTCCCATGTGATAGTAAGCAGCAATGAGTAGTGGGAAGAGTGGTTTAGGAATCTGACTTGAAGTCAAACCTGGGCTCTCCCACTTACTGGTTGTGTGATTTTGAGCAATTTCCTTAGCCTCTCTCAGTCCCAATGTTCTAATATATAATGTGAGGATAATAACTCCAGCCTCACCAGCTAGTTTACAAATTGAATGAGGATTTGTGTGAAGCACATGGATGCCCAATAAATGGCAGCCACTATTCTTCCCGGGGTGGTCAGGGACGCAATCTATATAATGAAGATATGGAATAGCAAGTCCCTGAGATCCTCTCCCACTCAAAGCGTCTCTAACTTTTTCCTCTTTTTCGAGGATCTTCGCTAACGTACTGGAATCCCTTGAGGACATCTTTGAGCAAGGAAGGTGAGGAAGTGTGTTATGGAGGACACGTCCTAACTCCTTGTTTCTTCCTGTACTGCTTAAGTACTGAATAATGGAGGATTTAAAAGGTTAGAGAGGGTGGTCTGAATTAGGTTACAAACTCCTAAAGGCAGAAAA